CCACCTGCAAAATCCCAACTACATTACTGTGTGTCCCAAGAATTAAGCAGAGGTCACTCTACCAAATCATCAGTCTCACTCTATTCCCACTAGGCATGGGTCTGGCTTCTGTGGATCCCAGGAGGACATCTATATCCAGATTCCAAGTCCTGAGGACCCCTCAGCATCGCTTATGTTGTGCCATCAGTGCTGCAGTCAGGGGTTTATTTTATTAAGCCCACTACATCACTAATAAGCTATGTGCCCACAGGCTAATCACCTGCTCTTTCTGGACCTCAGTTTCCAAATCTAAAACTAAGGGGACAGAACTCTCCTTAGGTCCTTTCCATTTAAAAAAGCAAAAACCCAAAACACAAGATTCTATTTTTTTTAACCTGTTGCTTTAAGTTCTAAATAATGCCAACAGCATCTGAAAGCCTCTTTCCTAAACTTTTCCCAAGGCCAGATGTTCCTGGCTCTGAAACAGAGGGAAAAATACTTTTAAAATAACCTGACAGTTTTGTCTTTTAGAGCAAATTATCTTTGGCCTTTTCAATTCTTTTTCCTTTATTGCTACTTCTTTCAAAATCATTAAAATAAGTCTTTAAAAGTAAGCTACTCATCGCTCCTGATTCACCAGGATCTATCTGATAACATTATTTTTCCTGTATGAAACCTTTAAATATTTTTACTCTGGTAACTATGCTCATCAGCACTGATCTGACCCTGTTTTGCAAGGAAGATTATTAAATCCTCTGGAGAAGAGGGCCGTGGTAGAAGCATGCTGTCCTCTCCTCTCACCTGAGTTTTCAGAAGCTGACGGACATGCAATAGCAGGCGTGAAAGGGGGAGAAGAAAGAAGAAAAGCAAAGGAAAGACGAGAGTAAAGACATTCATTTGTTTGCTTTCAAAGAGGTTCTGGGAGAAGCCCTGGGGGCAGTTCACTCCAGTTAAGTGATCTCTAGAAATGGGACTTTCTTAAGAAGTGAGGAGAGCTGGGACACCAATTCCCTCAACATTCCCTCTGTGCAGGCTTTTGCAAAGCAGCCTGGAGATGTAATGCGCAGACCCGCTACTATCCTGTACCTGGTTCTTAGGAGGCAGGATCATTCTATGGGTCTCTAAAGTCTTTAAGAAACACCAAATCTTTCCATTGCTGGCCTGGAAATTAAATAAGAGACTCTGAATCACCACCATTCATAAATCAGTGATTTAGTGGAAGGATAGCAGTGCAGTAGCAAACATGCCAAATAAATTCATACGTAAAACATGTGCATAACCTCCTAGTCTGAGGTTAGCAGCATATTTCAAATAATTTAGGTTCCAAGATACTATCTAATGACTTTTAGCTGAGGAAATACAAACCTTAAAATATTTTCCCATTGTATATATGTGTGTGTGTATGCAAGTATGTACCCTACTACGACTCTCGTTTTCAGCCATGATAGCATTATAAACCAAGACAATGAGTTAACTTAAAATATGACATATCTAAATCTAAGCATGAACAAAAGTACAAAAATAATCTCATTCATACCAAAAAATATCGACAGAGACACTAAGTATCTAACTGGTTAGCCTCAAAGCAGTAATTTCTCTCGAGCATTGAGAAATTATAGTGTTAGTGGCATATGAACACCTCCTGGTAGAAATGACACAGAATGTCATAATCCAAGAATAGGTCCCTCTTACATTTAGTTTCTCATACCATGACAGGACTCTACTTCAAGGACTATGTTGTCCCCGTGTATTTTTTCTCCAGGGAATACATCCTATGTCCTTTCATAAACAAATGCAACTGTTTTTGCTATTTTCATAAACACATGCAACTATTCCAGTTATAATCTCATGTGGGGGTGGTGGTTAAATATCCCAATCTTCCAACTAATGAATAAACAGGGAAACTGAAATGACAGAGTGAAAAATGAATCAGGCATACAGTAGTGTCACAGTCTGCAAGAGCATTCATAAGACTTTACAGAAGACAATACCTTCAGCAAAAGAACCACCACCCAGCAACGTGTCAGGCTGCCTGTCGCATCTTTCCTACACTTCCTTCCAGAAAATCTGTAATCTAAATACCTTCTAGGTATACCCAGCCACTCCCCCAGAAGGGGCTTGCTCCATTTCCTGAGATAACAGCCCAAGTCCTGTTTGGATCTTTACTACCAAGAAGAAAGATATGAACATTTTTGAGGGACATGCATGAAGGAAAATGATAATGACCCTGTAATCTGAGATATCTTTGAAGCTGTGTGTTTGGAAGGAGGGTGGTATGAGGGGAATGGATGAAGCCCCAAAGCTAAACTCAGAAGCACCACATGATCCAGCGACAAATACCAGTTATGGATATATTGCAAACCTATGTTCACAGCCACATTATTCACAACAGCCGAAAGATGGAAATAGCCACATTGGTGGATTTATGGATATAGAAAACGTGATATATACATACAATGGGATATTTGGCTTTAATAAGGAAGAAAATTCTGAGAAGCTACAACACGGATGAGCGTTAAAGACATTACTAATTAAAATAACAAGAAGTCGGGGCTGGGGATTTAGCTCAGTGGCAAAAGCGCCTGCCTGGCAAGTGCAAGGTCGTGAGTTCGGTTCCCGGTACCGGAGAAAAACAAAAACAAACAAACAAAATAAAATAAAATAACAAGAAGTCACAGGGAGACAAATATTATATGATTCCACTTATATGGGATACCAAGAGGAGTCAAACTCAGAAACAGCAAATAGAATGGTGGTTGCCAGGAGCTGGTAGAAAAGGCAAAATGAAGTTGTAAGGGAAAAGGAAGTTGTTTCGTAGGTACAGAGTTTCAGATTTGCAAGATGGAAAAATTCTGGAGACTGGTTGCACAACAATGTGAATATACTTAATACTATTGAATAATAATAATACCTAATTTTATGTTATGTACATTTTATCACAATTACAAACAAAACCAAACATACTGTTCTGAGTATTTCCTGATGTGATGGTGATACCAATAATGTCTTACTCATGCCCAGCATGTGGGGTACAATCCCCAGTATATAAAAAATAATAATAATTATTACAGATGCTCTCCTCCATCCAGCATGATCTACCACCTTCTGCCTCCATGTCCCTTCTTTTGCAGAGCACTTCAGGCCTGGGGAGCAGAGGTGCCGCAGAATGATGGCCTGCTAATAAATCTTCCCTGTATCTCAAAGGCAAAGGAACAAGTGGAAAGCTAGAAAGGGGGCCCAGAAATGGCGAGGGAGAGAAGAAATGGAAACAGCTTTTGGAAGGATGCATTCACAAAAAAAGGCAGCGGGGTCCATCTGGAAAGTATTTTATCAAAATAAAAAGCTCCTTTCTACCATGAGCAACAGATTAGCATAATACAAAACTCCCTGAACAGCAAAGCACTATGACCAACTTAAAAGCAAAACAAAACTGAAAGAAGCACTCCTTCGAGGGACATCCAGCCACTGCCAAGTGGAAGCTTCTTCCTGGTGCTCAAGGGCAATGCATTCCTGAGGGGCTCAGGGGCTCAGGGGCTCAGGGGCCATCCTTCGGCAGTTTCCCTCTGGATATCTCCTCCAGGCATCTGTGCAAAGGGTTCGATCTGTCCCCATCCCACACCCAATGAAACCATGCACTGAGAGCTGGTGAGGAAAACGTTTCTGAAACCACGAGCACTGAGATCCCCTACTTAGAACCCTCCCTTATGGCCAGCTTCCTCTCCATTTTCTTGCACAAGATGGTAGTAAAAAATGAAAAATATGCAGCAGTCTGAGGATACAATCAACAATGATTTTTCCTTCTCATCACTCTCCTGATTATTTTACATCACTGAGACGTAAACAAACACCAGTCCACTCACCCTTCACCCTTTGTTCTTTTTCAGTACAAATTTTGGGCCTGGAACGTAGAGATGAAACAGGAAGCTCAGAATCCCAATCTCCTCTCCTCATCAACTCCCCGCTTCCAATAAGACATTATCACAGCCTTCAGGGAAGCAATCTGGGCTGTTTTCTAAAACATCCAGCAAGAACCCAGCAACCCCTCTGGTGCTAGCAACAATTCAAGAATGAAGGAACTTCCTTCTCCTCACTCAGATTTGAGACATTTTCCTTTTCCATTATAGGTCTGAAAGCAACAGGTCATTTGTGTCAGAACCTTTTTTTAAAAAAAATGAAACTGTCCCTCAGTGGCCATAGGCTGAATGATCTTGGGCACTTTAGATGTTTGTGAACTCTTCTTTTCCCACCCATCAGCCATCCTTCTCTCTCTTGGGCAGACTCTTCAAATCTTCCTCTCTATCGGAAACACAAGGCCAAGGTCAGAAAGCTCTAGGAAGAGCGAAGCCAGGCTTCTCCCAGCCGTCCTCAGCTTCAGGTCCAGCCTGCACTGGCTCCTTAAATTGGAGCAGGCAAAGGACTTCCTCTTCTCACACTCACAACCCCTTCTTGTTTACTCCTACTTTGTGTAAGAGAAGGGAAGGGGAGAAAACAAAAAATAAAGCGAAGATTTTATAGAAATGAAAAATTGTTTAACATGAAGCACAAGCGAAAAGATGTGTTTTACAAGTTGAAAAGTACATAAAAACAAAGCACGTTTTTGTGGCACGTTCTCACACACAGCATTTGTGTTCTCTAATGCCCTTTGAACACACCACATATGTCTGCAAACACAAGCTGATCTGTCCTGTTTCACATTTACACTAATAAAAATGAGAAGAGGCTTAGCTGCATTCCACAAACTAAAGTTATTTAATGAGCATCTTAAGATTTTTTTTTTAAGGCACAGAAGTTCTAAAAGGGGAAGAAAGAGATTCTGAGAATTTCATTTTCACCATAATAGCTTGATGTTTGTTCCTCTAACTGCGTGCGGTTACCAGCTATGCACTGGCTCTTACATTCAAAGCCAGAGCAATTTCTCCCCATTAGAGAAATAGTTAAAAAACAAGCCAAGGAATAAAAATCAATTACATATTTTAGAGCAACTATGAAAGGGTTTTTTGAGGGCAAAAAGAACCACTAACCTGTGTTGTTCCAATCTGCTGAAACCGACAAGAGCTCGAGTCTCCTGCTATCTTCTGGCTGGCTTCCTGAAACGCGCATGTGACATAGTACTTCCTCACCGCACCTTCTTCCACTTGCCTCTCTAATCGCCCGAGGCATGTGATAAGATCTGTGGGCTGCTTTTTCACATGGGTAACCCTGCGTTGCCTCCCCAAAAGGCTCCCCCACCTTTTTAAGTGTTCCTAGGACATAGGTATAGAAGAGGTAAGCCCAGGGGGAGTACTTCTGCGACCCCTGGCAATTCTAACTCCACTTGGAGGGAGAAGAGGAAAGGGAGAGAGTTCTGAGCCCCAAAGTCTCCATCCTAGGCTTGAGGTTCTGCAGCAGAAGTGGCAGAGCACTACAGTGTGGCTTTGGGCGTGGGCGCTCTCCTGTGTCAGCTCAGCCCCAGGTCAGCCTGCCCTAGGAACTGCTAAGGACGGGCCCTCAATGGTGCTGTTTCCAGGATGTCCCCACACTCCTCTCTGGAGGCCACGGTCAACAGAGCACACCAGGGCTCGGCTCATGTTTCTGGACCCTACAGCCACCTTGGGCCATTCACCCTGAATTTCCTGGGTCAGTGTCAAATTCACATGTAGTCTAGTCATGCTGTCAGACAGTGTGCCCTAATTCTTGGTTGAGAAAACAAAACCACAGTATTGTTAGCCTGACCGGGCTAAGTAACTCCAATGTCAGACTGGCAGGACAGTCAGGGACAGTACCTGCTGTGTCCCTTTCTGTCCTGCACAGGGAAGAGATGGAAGACAGCTGGGGACAGGGACCAAGCAAGAAGCCCAAGGGCACTATTTCTAGCTTTCTCATTCCTACAGTCACTGCCTTCCTTTCCTTTTATAATTCCCCCAGCTCTCAGGAGGGTCCGAACAAGCGGAATTTGTGGATATGGGAAGTGGTATGTGGGAGTAAAACCATGTCCTGAACCAAAGGGAACACTCTGCAATTTGTACAGCTTGACTCAGGACAGAAACCCCAAAACTGTTTCTATTTGACTGCCCTGGCATAATTCTTTTTTAAAAAATGCTTTTAAAAGGTTTTTTTTTTTGTTTTTTTTTTTTTTTTTTTGGTTTTTAGCAAGGTAGCAGTAGACATGTTCCAAGTATCGAAAATATAACCCTATAATTCCCCAACAGTGTTTTCCATGTGAGGACACTGAGCAAGGAAACAAGTCCTGAGAGTCAGAGCTGTGGACTCTCCAACTCTGAAGCCTCACCACATGATTACAGCTCTGGCCTTAAAAACACCCATAACTGCTTTACCATCTTGATAGTTGACAGCTGGGTTTTGGATTGAATCGCACATGCACACGAGCCAGTTACGCCAAGATGGCTCCCGAAGCTATAGACACTGTATTAGCTGTTAAATGGGAATAATGATAACACTTCGCCATTTTGGATTCAGCTATTGCAAAGAACTTTGGAAAAACAAATTACTATATGGAGGGAAAATAACGACAATTCTATCTGAATGTATTTAGAGGTGTTATATTGTGGGTTAAGCTTTCAATTCTATTTTTCAGCTAAGCAGCTGTTTGTTCTGCTTGAGCTGTGCCCTGTGTGGAATTAGTAAAGGTCTTAACAAAATGCTGTGTAATGCTCCTTTAAAATCTCTAACCTGATTTTCTATGAATTTTTTCCCTATTTAGCCATTTATGTTTTTCAGTACCTTTTATTTTTCAGAACAGTTGTAGATTTATAGAAAATTTGAGATAATAAATACAAAGAGTACCCATATATCCTATACCCAGACTCCCTTATTATTAACATTTATATAATGTTAATATGTAAGTAACAATTAGTAAACCAATATTAAAACATTATAGTTAACTAAAATCCAGTTTATTTAGATTTCCTTAGTTTTCAACTCGTGCACTTTTTCTGTCCCAGGATCCCCTTTGGGATCCCATGTAACAGCCAGTCATCAGGTCTACTTTGGCTCTAGGTGGCTGTGACAATTCTCAGCCTTCCCTTCTATCTGAGGAGTTCATTATACCATAATGGGATTTATCTGATGATTTTCTCCTGGCAATACTAGAGCTTATGGGTTATTTAGAAGAGCACCACACAGGTGAAATACCATTTAAATCACATCACATCAAGCCACATACAATCAGTCTGATTTAATACTGTCAATGTTGGCCTTGGTCACCTGGTTGAGATAGTGTTTGTCAGGCTTCTCCGCTGTGGAGTTGCTTCTGGCTCCCTCCCACCTTCCCATAACATACTGTTTGGAAGAACGTTCTTGAGAGTAGAGTATCCATATACATTATTTGGAATTCTACTGCACAGACCTGTCTCTTCTGCATATGTATTAATCTGTTCAATTATGTATTTCTATTACTATGGGCTCATGGGTATTTACTATACATTTTGGGTTATAACTCAACAATACCTCCTTTATTTTGTTATTCACATTATCCCAGCTTTGGCCACAGGGAGCTCTTCCAGATGGTGTCTGTGTTCTTTAGACATACCCATTGGTATTATTTATTTTTTGTTTTTAGCACGTTCTTGCTTTTTGGCACTACAAAATGCTCCAGGTCCATCATGGACAGCACCTCCCCAACTGTCAGTGTGTTTTGCTTTGTTGTTGTTGCTGCGGTTGTTTTTAAAAGAGGAAAAAGAAAAGTCTATGGGCCTGAGAAAACTTTTATTTACATTGAATTCTCATTAGTTCCATCCACGCATATTTCTTAAAAATTACTTCATAAAATTAGCTGTAGTATCTACCACCAGCAAAATATCGAAGTTTACAGAGTAAAATGCTTCATTTCCTTAATTCTAAGATGCATGTTTGCCTTGGTTTCATCTTTTCCTTCATACCTTAACACGCCTAGAATCAAAGTGTACATTTAATTTTGTGTTCTTTTTTTCACTTCCCTTCCCTGTCATTAATTTGATGGTATACCTACAATCAGTGGTGCCCTGAGAGTGGAGGAAGTACAGCAGTCAATGCACTCTTGTTTAACAGATATCATTTAAATATTTCCACTGGTTTTTCCCATTGGACAAGTATTTTGATTAAAGTGGGTTTATGTGTAGCATGTATCGACACAAGATTTTTAACTAGCCCAGATACATTCTAACTTTACCTCAAACAATAAATTCTCACAAAGTCCTAAATACAGATTCAAAAGGGGAGATTTTTAGTAATCCTTTACTGGGCCTACTAAGGATCACTCTCTTAATCTCAGGGATCCACTATCATAGCTGAGGTGCCTAACAGGGATGCCGAAAGAGGGGAGAAGAGTTCCGGTCTGGCTGATGAGGAGTGGGTGCACCAACTGGTCAGCAGGCAGATTTGAAGGCCTCCTTGCTTCTCCCTTTCCAGTAAGGGCAGGTGAATAACTGCAGAGTGGCAGGGCCAACCCTCCCAACTCCATGGCCAGGAACTACTCTCAGCTAACAAACCACTGTTACTTTGGGAAAATCATGCTTCACAGAGGATTTTTTTGTTGCTGCTTTTTTTTTTTTGTACCAGGAATCAAACTCTGGACCTCACACTTGCCAGGCAGGCGTCTGTGCCACTGAGCTATATCCCTGTCCCTGATTTTTGTTTCTGAATAGATAGAGAACAATTCACCCATTCACAAATAGTCACAGAGAAAATTCCCAATCTTTCCATGGAGGTAGGAGAACCTAGCTTCTCTGAACACTACTTCTTGTTTTGCTCCTCTATAAAATTGCCAGGCTCCTGGTACCCTAAGCACCTCACCAGCTCCCTAAAAGGGCCCAGAGAGCTGCTTCACTGGCTTTTTTCAGTGATCATTTATCGCATTTACTACCTACAGACACTGAGCTAAGTGCTTTACCCACATACTTCCATTTAATTTTCATTATAATGCTGTGAGGTAGATTTTGTGATCTTCATGTTACAGATAAAGAAACCAGGCTTTGAGAGATTAACTTGCCCAGCATTCCTTGATAAGTCTGAAGCCAGCTTGCACGTGGAACTCTGTCTGACCAATAGGAAAATGCAAAGCAAAACCATCATGAGATATCATCTCACCCCATTTAGCAGGGCTACGGTTAAAATAATAAATGCATGCAGAGGAAAGAACTCTCATACAGTGTTAGTGACAATGTAAATTAGTACAGTCATTATGCAAAACAGAATGGAGAATCCTCAAAAAAAAAAACTAGACATAGAACTATAACATGATCAGCAATCCCACTACTAGGTATATGTCCAAAGAAAATGAAATAAGTATGCTGAAGAGACACCTGATGCCTAACAGCAAACACATGGGATTACCTAGATTTCCAATGATGGATGAATGGATAAAGAAAATGTGAGATATGCACACACACAATATTGCAGACATAAAAAAAGAATGAAATCCTGTCACTTGCAGGATTGAACAGAACAGAACATGAACAGAACTGAAGGACATTATGTTAAATGAAATAGGCGAGGCACAGAAAGACAAACACCATGTGTTCTGACTTATATAGGAAAGCTAAAAAAAGGTGATCTCTCAGAAGTAGAGAACAGAATAGTAGTTCCAAGAGGGAAGGAAAGGTTGGGAGGAGGAACAGGATGGACAGACAATGGACAGAAGGCACAGGAATGCAGCTGGATGAGAGGAAGAGCCCCTAATATCCTGTAGCACAGTGGATAACTATGGTTGGCAACAGTTAATTGCATATTTGAAGAGAGCTACTACGGAGGATTTTTAATGCTTTCAACACACAAAAAAAGGTTAACTATTTGACAGTGGGTATACAAACTACCATAATGTGATCTTTATACACTGCATACATGGATTGAAACATCATACTCTACTCCACAAATTATGTTATGTGTTAGTTATTATAACAAAAGCCCACAAAATGATAGTTATTATAACAAAAGCCCACAAAATGAGTTTTCAATACTATTGTGCTGTTATGTGTGGCCAATACATGTCTATTTTCTATTAATTGAAAATTTTCTGTCATCCACTAATCAATTTTTATAAATACCTTTTAAAAATTGTATTTCCTACTTGTTGGGTTAAGTCAATAATGATACACTGATGCTACTTAAATAATATGTTCTACGCATTTTTGTCTATTGGATCAAAGTCCAAAAGCATTTTGTTTAAGTTTCCCAGTATGATTACAGACAACTGTCTGTATTGCTAAAATTTTTGTTGTTTTATTTGCATGTTCTAGCAGACTTTGCTTTATTTAATTCAGTGATAGGATGCTCAGTGCATGAAGGTTCACTCTCTTCTTTAAATTAACACCAATTAATGAGTTTCACTGTGATATTTCCGTATATTGCACACTGACCACATCCCCACCCTCCCTTCCCCATGCTCTTGCCCCCCAATTCTCTCCCCTTCCCCAGCTCCCCTTCATACCACCTCCCTCTTATACTTTCAGGTTTCTGATTTCCATATGAGATAAAGTATGCAATATTTGCTTGTGT